TGGCAACGTGGATGAAACGCCGGAGCATGTGGTCTTCAACTGACAAAGGTTCGAGGCAGTGCGAAAGGAGATGTCCGTCCTTAACGTGGAGAATGTCGTCGATGAAATGTGTCGAGAGGAAAGCACTTGGAATGCCGTTAGCAGCTGCAGCGAAAATGGAGAAAGGAGCAGCGATCTAGCAACACCAGAACACCCGATGAATATTGACGAGATGCCGCTTCAAGTTGAATACCGTGACCACTTTTAATGTTTTTTTTCCATTTGCCCTGCAAAGCACAACATTCACAACCACTTTTTCGGTACCGTCCTCAAACCACACATTTTTCTTCGTGAAAAAACTTCTCAATTTGTCCCCTTGTATACTTTTTTGTTTATTAATTTATTTGATAAGGCTCAACCGAATTAACTTTACAGAGCCGAGGATTCTTGGTCACTATACAATACATCTTAACACTATAGTCAAAAGGTACAACACAATAAACACTTTATCTTCCGCTATCCAAAAAGCCTCCTCCATCAGAACTGGAGCCGCTTCCAGTGGTTTCATTGTATGGCAAATTGTTGTACGCCAACGAGGGTCAGAGCGCGTCCATTGCAGCAATGGACGCAAAACGTGGTCAGCACTCACACACTCATCACGAAACGGTTGCTTTCCAAAGTCGACGACGCATCGACCGAAAGAACTGCTGATGAAGAACAATGAGGAGGACCACACAATGGTTGCTGCCGAGAAAACAGACGATCGCGCAGCACACATCGAGAGTGGCCTGCTTCTGTCGACAGCCGAGTAAACACTGTCCCCTTGTATACGTTTTTCAGCCATTTTATTGATGTTTTCCCTCACTCACGTCAAGCTCTGCCGGAATCTTTGGAGAAACAATAACGCATTTGCGCTGCCATCTTTCTCACGGAAGTGAGTGTATAAACAGACAATCAGTGAACTGTCAACATTCTCACTCTCTCGTGCTGTGTCTAAAAATCTCTCCAGTGGTGCCAGGAAAATTCTCCGAGTAGACGAGCAGAGATTCACCCCAGATAATACTATCTCTTGCACCCGGGTGATTCTCGCCAGAGAATTTTCTACTCTGAACGCAAGTAAGTGCACCGCTGATCGAAGTCGCGTTGATGGATGATGATGACGTTGATGTCGATGCCTCGTGGTATGTAATCTTCGAGGTTTGACCGTTGTGGCATCCGGGATGAACATCGGCGTTGCAGATGAACTTCCACCAGATTGTGTCTCCACGTTGATTGGCGCACAAACTGGCGAACCGATCTCTTGCCAACCTGCCTAGGGCGTGATATTGGCAAACGCAACCCTCTTCCGGTCACCGTACATCCGGGAGCTCCTTAGCAAGCAGGTGGGGCAAGTCCCCGGCAAGGTGACAGATAACCTTAGTTTCACGAACCCACTTGCAAATAGTAGATGTCGCCACACAACATAAACAAAGGGATTGTCCTTCATCGCCGTTATGGCATTTCTCTATGGAAATCCAACTTTGTGTTTCTCCATGTGTGGATGTCAAACAACAAGCAAGAATGCTATATGATAAGAGCGAATTTATTATTGGTGAAATAAAATAATCCAAACAAATTGAAACCGATTGATGGAGGTTCATTTTCTTATATAATCAAACGACAAGAAAAATACTTTGCTGTCTTCTGCTTTATTTTCCTCTTGAATATAATCAGCATACAGATTTCTTTTTTTTTTTGATCATAGTGGTGCGATAAAGGCTTGCCATATGAATAAACAAAAGTTTACTTTCCCGTGTTTCTCTATTCTTGTGTTCTTGTGTATTCTGCTGACATGCAAGACTTCGGAAACTAAATTGAAAATACCCAACAATCCCCACAAATATTTCAACTTTGGAAGATATTACGAACGGCTTGAAAATAGAATCCTAATGAGCATGTTTGCAGTATGCAGTAACCCGTTTGTCTCAAATCGGTTGTGGAAACTTCTATACGACTTATTTCAGTCATAAACAAGTTGCTGCAACTTATTGTACTGGAAGTGTGCTACTGGGGAAACAATCATCACAATAGCTTGATAAATCAAATAAGGGTCCCACAAAAAAATTATATTGAGCTTCTGAAATGAATAAATTAAAGTGGTTATCTTTTGTTACATCCGTCCGTATTATTAACGTTATTCCTCACCAAACTTGAAGCCTCAAGAAGCAGATGAGTCCATAAATTTGTTTGCTCTATTATTTAGTTACACAGTTATGGGCATAGTGACAATGACAATACAAATACCATGAAGAACGCTGACTATGTAGTGGTCATATAAGTGAAGCGAAAAAAACTTTCATAAACTGATACTGCATAGTGCATACTACTGAGAATCAAAGCGAAATTTTTAACTGGCATCACTGGAGTTCCTATGTCGCTAACATCGCGTGTGCGGTTTGGTGAGCGCGCGACAATAAGATGAATTTTAAACTTTAATTTTGTTTACTGTACATCATTTCCGCATTCGCCCTTTTAAGATAACACTTCTGAAATTTGTGAGTTTGACAGAACCACCAGCACCAAATTGTCGGGGTACACTGGCAATATACCGGAGCTGTCAAGTTGCCCCCCAGTTGAGGTGGGGTCAGAAGCGATCGATACTATAGGTGCGATGTGCCACCAAAACCACTCAAGCCGACTAACTGCTAAAGGGAAAGCAGAGAAAGGTAACACATGTCAAGTTTAAATCACCTCCAGTTATACATCACGGCGCGAACTAAAACTAATCTCTCCTGCCTCTTCCACAAGCCAGAACGAAGTGATCGAACCAAGTCCCAAATCCTCAGATAAGGCGCGAGATTCACATCATCTCCACTATCAGTTTGCGTCATTTCCCGAGAAAAATGACGAAGCTCTAGATTCGTTTATAATCACGAAACGTGACAGGATAAGGGGAAGTGGGGTATCCTTTATCGAGCAACTTTGCATTATCCATTCTCTCGTTTTTCCTCCCAAATCCGAAGAGAGGCAAAGGCTACGACCGGGTCAAGGAAATCTGAATACGTTTTGCTTGGGTCAACGGTCAGAAGCAAGCGCGCAATTTTTGGTGATTTTTCCTATCGTTCTACTTTTAAGGCGGTGGATTACATGTGCGCTATTGGCTTAGGTAGGGAACTCATTATCTACATTTTACGTGGTCGTATTGCTCCTGAACCGAGTGAACGAAGTGAACTCTGTCTGAGTGATCGCGCTTTAGGCTGGTTCATAAATATTTATTTGAATATTAATGAATTATTTATCAAGAAAACAAATATCTAACAATTAACGACATTCATGTTCGTTACAATATCGCAATTTTTTTGAACCTGCTCAAAGCAATATTCTAGACAAACATTTGAAAAGGGCGTAGTTCCAAAATGTAAACAAACCAAATGTTGCTACAAATAGAGAGAACAGTTCACAAACTACTCGATAAACACGAAAAAGTAGAAGAAAATATCACTTCACATCATCAAAAACGTTTCTTCTTACATGGCGTATTTCCAAATTTCAACTATATGATGCATCTGGTTGTTACACCTTGCACCAGAACTACGAATTAAATTGTTTTAATATGCCAAACGCACTGATTCTGTAGGTCTAGTCACGCCCGATTTATTTGAATTGCATCCGATTGATATTTCACGAGTAAACAACGAACAAAAAGAAGACAAAAAAAATCTCCGGGCGTAATTCCACTCTCACAAAATTTGCGAACGAAGAACCAATGCGGAACAACAAACAAAAAATCCCTTTAGATAAATTTATCATAATTGGATATTGATTTACCATTAAATCTGTAAACTATCGTTCTTATAACGTACGGAAGGTGTTTCTTATGCTGTTTTTATCTTGTCACATCTATCCTTCAGTCGTCCAATGATGATAACCAGTGCAGCTTCCGTTTCCGTCCAGTGAGAATAAAAGATTCTGTCCACTGGGAAAATGCGATATACATCAGTAATTAATTAATTCTGAACAAATAGTCAAGAGATTCCAGAGCCAAATGACCATGATTTATGGTTTAAGAGCTAGGGTAGACCCCCACAAGTTTTCCACTCAGTCCCACAAGCGAATGGGCGGAGTGAATCTTCTACCCTAGGTTCCAATGAAGAAGTAAAAGAAAGTTTTGTCGCTCAGCCTTGATCAGCATATGCATATAAATCATACACCTACACCGAAAAGATAAGTTCAATACGAAAAATCATGATGAATCGCATTTTTCGCCATGGAAATTATTCCTACGTTGCATTCATTCTTTGTTCATGTTTCGACTCCACAACGGAAAGTGCAATGAAATTATGAAAAACAATTTTGGGTGTACGACAGCACTGCCAGTTGGTTCCTCCTCCGAATTGCAGCCGGTCAGTCAGCCTCTTCCTCCTTCGCTCGAGGCAAACTCAAGCCAGCAGCAGCACTCTGCATCCAAATTTTCATTATACAGATATACATTTATCAAAAAAAGGAGATAAAAAGGACTCGGACAGGAATAATTTTTCATTTGCTTGATCTGCTTTTTGTACATTGGTTTTTCGCTTGTGCTGCAGAGCGATGCTTTCTTGTTCAGCCAACTCGTATTTTTTTTTAACCTTCCAAACTTCTTCTAGTTCTCAGCATCTTCAACGAATGAGTCGAGCTTTCTCTCTTCCGGCCAACGTCGTCCTGGTTCAACCTATTCCGGTGTATTGTTTCTCTTTCTCTTTGGGCGAGCCCCACGCAATTCCATTGAAATTTAGTTACAGATGTGTTTTTGTTTCCTCTTCTGTTGATGTTTTTCTTTTGTTTCAATCAAACTTGCTCGTACCGAGAAATCAGAGCACTCGCTATTTCATGGTTAAACATTTGTTCTCACTCAAGCGTGCCAAATTTCCTCTCATGCAATAATTACGTAAGCACTTTTTTGGCATTTACAAACTCCTCTCACCTCATTGTAAAACTCCGTAATATTCAACAAAAATCCACCTCCCCCCTTTGTATGAATATTTGAATGGTCTGTTCATTACTTGTTCATGATTACATAAGATTTTTCTGAAACTCCTCCCCACACAAAGTACTTACGTAATTATTGAATGACCCCTTTACTGCTGTGTTAATTTATGGGTTGATAGAAAATTTTCCTGGAAAGAAATAATGATTCAATTTACGCAACTGAATTGGGACTGCTCTTGATTGCTATGGAATTTGATTCACATCATCCTCATTTTCAGCATTCACAGAACAGTGTAGCAAATTTGGATAAAATCCATTGCTTTACCAATTGCCTCAACTTCTTTCAAAGAGTTCACAGAACCATTATAATGTTTCATCCTCTCAAATTACAAAATAATCCATCACAATTCCTCATGTACAGAACCACACTTGATAACAAATAATTTGCCACTAGCAACTCATCAAGACCCGCTGGTGGAAAAAAAAACCCCATCTAGCAAAACTCCAGCGATGCGCGCATTGTTCGGGTAGTTCTTGCTTCTACTTTTGATGTGTTTTTTTTTTTTCATTCCTCACCGATTTCAAACTCCAGACGACGAGGACGGTTGGCCGGTTTAAATTCTATGTACATCCTATCCCACCACCACCACCCGACGCGCCACTATGTTGCCACGAGATGTCGTCGTCTGACCCGCAAGCAAATCTCGCCGCAGCCGCAACGGTACCTACTACTACTACAGCTACTACTGCTACTCCATAACTACTTCTCGGGATCGGGTCCAGTCGAGTCGAGTCAAGTGCTGATTTATGGCCAGTTTTATCTGACAGCCGACCACCGTAGGCCGCCACCGCCGCTGCTGCTGCTGCTGCTGCTGGTGGTCATCGTCATGGACAGCAGTAGCAGCACCAGACAGCAGCACCCCGACAGGACCAGACTGCTCTGCAGCGCGGGACCGCTCTGGATCGCTGCCGGTTGTTCGCCTGCAAAGAAAGAGAGCGAGATGGTAGAGATCATGATGATGACGATGAAAAAGAATAACATGGAACCCATTAAGAGTTCGAGGAAATGGCATCGCAATGGCGGAAGATAGTTAGAATTGAAGGCAAGGGTGGGATGAGCCGCAGCGGAGCCAAATATTTCGTCTGCTGCTTCAAAATGAAATTCTGAAGCGGAAGTTGTAATGGGACCGGAAAGTTTTCCCTGTTTCTCTCGCTCTATCTGTAGTCTTGGTTACATTTGCGTGACAGATGTTCTTGGAACTCTCATTTTCCGAGGAAATGGCTGAAAATTTATTTTAATTATGGAAAAAAGTTTAACCATTCCCCCCTAAAGGGTACTCTGGTTGTAGGACATGGAAAATTATATCAAATTCCCGAAGGGAAATGATCAACGATTCGGTGTTTTTAATAGCTGATTTCTGAGAATTGTTTTTGATGTTAAGGACCGTCCATAGATGACAGCATATTTTTGACCAGTTTTTGAATCCCCCTCCCCATCGTAGCGAATTTTGCAATACCTAAAACATGGCCGGTCACAACTTCTGAAACACCAGAACCCTCCAAACCACCTCCCCCCCACTCCCCCATAAAATGTTACGTCATTTATTCATGTTCCCTATCGGTTTCAATGAAACTCGTTTTTGTTACATATACAATTTCATTAAAGCTTCAGTATGAGAATGTCTACATCTTTTACAATGCAATTGCAATCAATGTGTTGTGTTGGGGAAGCTGATAGTATCAACATTTTAGGAGTTTGTATTGAAAGGAGCTGGAGTTCTATGGTGGATTCAAACTATGGGAGGTTTGTTTCGAGCATTAAAGCAAGTCTAAAAATCCACAATGTTCGTCTATTGAATATTTTTGAGCGTAGTATAGTTTTGAATGTCTTTGTGCTATCATAACTATGGTAAATCGCACAGATTATTCCGCCTTCAAATCGATAGCTAGGCCAGATAAAGTCCGCCTGCTTTATTTATAAACTGAACAGGAATCAATTGTACATGGATTATTTAAAAGGATAACTCCGCCTTGTGGATCCAGAAGCTAAATCAAAGGCATTATTTTTGAGAAATATTTTATGGAAGAACTTAAGTTTTAACTTTCTGCCTCCTCAAGACCGTGCGAAATTGTTCGTTTTTGTAGACGATCTTGTTCCAAATAAGAAAAAGCTCAAGCTTTACAATATTGGCCATATTGCATCAACTAATCACGAAAAATGTGGTTTGTTTGATACTAATAAACATCGGATCAAGCAATGTACGAAGTCAAAAATAATCTGGGATTGTTGCAGCCAAATCATTTAGAGCGGATGAAGTTTAAAGTAAAGGATATCGAAGATATTCTTCAATTGAAGATTCAAAACTCTTCAAAGCAGCTAAAAGCTGCTTCGTGGCTGAGGGTGACTTGAGGGTTCACAAGGCTTCTTTGTTTATTTTCAAGAAAGATTTTAAAGAGATGAGATGGAACAAACGAGTAATGTTTCACGCTGAAGTAATCGTAGTCGTAGTCGGGAAAATTTTGGACATTTGGCTAATCGCCCATTTTGGGCCTATCGAACAAAAAAACATCAAATAAATCCATTGTTTCAGAGTTAAAAAGTCAATTATGCATTTGGTACGATATTTCAGTTTAAAAGCTTCCGAACGCAGTCAATGTGAACGCATGATATCAATGTTTACACCCATTTTTTTTCCTCAAAAACAAAAGAAGTGCTCCGACCGAGTCAATTTCTATCTTCATCCGATAGGCCGAAGTGAATTCAATGGCGTTTGAATGGCGTTTCAATTCATTAGGCCTAATTCCGTAGGCCGAGTATGGGGTCAAGAAGCAGTGCTAGATTTTTTAACAATATCTCAACAATTTGTTTCTCTTAAGCAAATCTTACGGTAGGGTTAACTACCCCACTTCCGGCCTATTAAGCACAACCCGCACTTATTCTTTCTAAATCTATTTAGGCCGACATTACATCCATTTCCCTTAATAAAAATACACTGCAGTTAACCCGTAAAGTACCAGGTCGAATTTTGACGTAGGACTACGTCTTTGATTTCTATATGGGGGTACTTTGTGAAAACCGAAAATGGAACATGTAACAAATTAAGAAAGATTTTGAACGTTAATAACTCAGCTGCCTCTGGACCAATATCAATAATTTTATCACCAATCGATCAGAAATATGGCTACTCATCGATAACAATGCTTCTGAATGTTGATTTTCAACAAGAAACTTTTTAAAAACTGGTAAATGTCCAGCATTGTCCAAAAGCGTCGGATTAACTAATAAATCCACCAATTACTTACATGCATATGCTGCTTCCCCAGCACTGTCGTCAGAGAGTAGTAAGTAGACGAAACAAGTCGAAGTGGCATTCGCCTCCGATCCTCGGGCGCGTGCGAATAGGGAGGATGGAATTGCGTAATATTTTGCACACTCATCGCCATATTCAGAACCAAACGCAAATTCTTCGAGATAACTATCATTCGTCGTCTTGCTCGCCGTGGCGGTGTCTGACGTATCTCCGGTCTGATTTACGAGAAGTGCTGAAGGTGTTTCTGAAAAATGAGATCCGTGATGCTGTCACCTACACTAAACACGCCAAGCGTAAGCGGCCATGGATGTCATCTACGTTTCGACAGAGACGCACTCTGTTTGGTTTCGGAGGTTAAATCATCACCAACTTTGGCAACAAAACGGCTCTTTTCAGGGCCACCAAGCTTTTTACAGTAAAGAGTAGGAATAGAATTCATCTGCTTGTTTGTCCATATTCAGAACCAACGATCACACAAAACGCTCATGTAATCAAACTGGAAGCAGGGGTACAAATTATTTTGATCAACCTTGATCAACTTTGAATCGCCACGGCCGGATATTTTCGATGGAAAAAGCAACAATCTAGCATCTAATTCGACAAAGACGGCAGGAAACATTTGTGAAGCCGAGTTATTTACGAAAGAGAGTGTCGATGAAGAGAATCGATCAATGTAGATAGGACCTATTGAAAAATGACGCGAGATTTGTTTTCCGTACTGAGCTCCAATGCTACCGACGTCAGGGAGGCAGCTCCCACACCTGGACCCTACCAATCGACCCATCAACTCAACCGGGGACCAACGGCTTTACTTCCCGAAGGAAAGCGTGATCAGAGATGTTATGCCTTAGAACATGCCGGTGGCGCCGACTGAGATTGGACCCAGGCCTGCTGGGGTGAGAGGTAATCTCGCTAACCACCGGCGCCGATATCTTTCAAGGTGATATCACGGCGAATGAGATCGACCCAAATTTGAGTTTAGTTATCTCAGAAATAAGAAATAAAGTGCAGGAACTCAGCGATAAGTAAATTTGCCTCATGTTTTCCCAGGTTTTTCCAGGATTTTCCAGGAAAAAATTCCCGAATTTGAGAAAAGTGAAGATTGGATTCACTCAGTTTATTGGTATGTACTACTCCGAGACTGAATAAAATTTTCGTTAATTTCCTCATTTTCTGGCAACTTTTTTAGGTTTTCCACAAATTTACTCATCGCTGAGTTCCTGCACTTTTGGCGATTATGAGTGAACTAAACTCAAAATTGGGTTGTTCTCATTCGCCGTGTACGAAAAAGGGAAAGAGTCAGTGTCGCTGCTTGATAGCAAACTACTCATAATGGGAGGAGTCTTTGTAGCTTATATACCACTTGGTTGCACATCATTCTGCTTTAACCTGAAAATATATAAAAGAGCGCTGCTGTATGGCGTTAGTTCGATTCGCTGCCAGACTGTTGAGCAGTTCAGTCGATTTGAATTCTCTCTAGTTTCGTTCGTTCGTTCGCAAGTCGAATTAGCTCCGCGTTGTGTAGTGACGCTCTCGCTAACCCAGCCATGGGTAAGAAATCGCGCGGTAACGCGAGTGCCGGTTTACCGGGAAAACAGACTCTCCCAGGAGACGGCGCGACCACCGAGCCAGCCCAGAAGAAGCAGAAGAAAACCCCATTGCCCATCCCGACAGGCGTTGCGGACCCGCAGCCGGGGCCTCCCGGAACTAAACGACCCAGACCTGAAGACAGCAGCGCCACCGTATCAGCAGCAAAAAAGCTGCTGAGCAACAATCCGTTCTCCGCCCTGCAGAACGGAGCCCAGCCGCAGTCGGACCCTGAGACGGTGCCGAAAAAAAGTTAAGTTGCCACCCTTCTATGTGAAGGGCTTCCCTCCCGGGCTATGGGAGCAGCTGGATTTCTACATTAAGCAGGGCCTTCGCTGCACCATTCAACGGTGCACGGAAGGCTACAAATTGATGGTCCCGGCCGAAAAACACTTCAACGCAGTTCAGGCCCTCTTGGACAGAATGAAGCTGGAGTACTTCTCCCACGACATCGAGGCCACCAAGCCGCTGAAAGTGGTGCTGCGCGGGCTCCACGACATGGACACCACCACCTTAATGGACGAGATTAAGGCGAACGGCCTCAAGCCGGTCGAAGTCCACAAGATGACCCGCAGCAAGGCCATCAAGTATCGTGACCAGCTCTACCTGGTCCATCTGGAGAAGAACTCCACAACCGTGAAGGATCTCCAGACGACACGCACACTGTTCCACATCGTAGTGAAGTGGGAGCGGTATAAACCCACCCACCGTGGCGTCACTCAGTGCTCGAACTGCCTATTGTTCGGGCACGGCACCAGGAATTGCCGCATGGCCAGCCGCTGCATCAAATGCGGCAAAAACCACAAGATCGACAACTGCGACAGCATCGAGGAAGCCACTCCCACATGCGCCAACTGCGGTGCCGCCCACAAGGCCACGAGTAAGGCCTGTCCGAAGCGGGCCGAATACGCCGAGATCCGGAAGAAGGCCTCGTCCAACAGCCAGCCCGGTCGCAAGAAGGTTCCAGAAAACAACGCGCAGAACTTTCCTCCGTTATCACCGGTCCAATCACGGCCAATTCCAGTGTTGCCGCCGCTCCCGCTCAACCAACAGTTGGCTGCCGCTGCAGTACCCGGTCAAGCC